TTGCTGTTGCTGTTCTTGCTGCTGCTGCTGCTGCTGCTGCTGCTGTTGCTGTTGCTGCTGCTGTTGCTGTTGCTGTTGCTGTTGCTGTTGCTGCTGCTGCTGCTGCTGCTGCTGCTGCTGCTGGTGCAGCTGCTGGCTGCTGGCTGCTGGCTGCTGGCGGCTGGCTGCCTGCTGCTGGCTGCTGCTGCTGCTGCCGCTGCTGCCGCTGCTGCTGGCAGGTGAGGTGGTGGCGATAGTCGTCGGAGGAGCAGCAGCAGCAGCAGCAGCAGCAACATCAGCAGTCGTAGCAGTCATAGCGTCGTCGTCTCAGCGGGAGCAACAGTTCACGTGAAGGAGTGGCACCAAAAGCCTGACATACGCAGACATACACTGCCCCTGACAGGCTCTAGATGCAGAAGTGGAGCTGGTGAAGGAGCACTTTCAGACATGCATGAGATGGCATGCATTACTTGGCAGCACATGCCTGCTTGCAGAGACCAGACGGCAGCATGGCGCAAGAACACAGATGTTCCAAAATGCTCATGTGGGATCAGTCGTGGGCATGTTCGTGTGACCTGCTGAATGAGCTCGGGCACACGATTTGCAATGAAATTGGCAGTCCTTTCTACAACGAATGTTGTGTTCATACGCATGCCACATACCAAGTCCCACTTGTTCAATCAAACAAACTCTGCTTGTTTCCGGTTACAGCACCCCACGCAGAATTTGGGAAGCGAGAGCATTGTGAGTGGGTAAGGCTTTGGCTGACAACCCGGTAGAAAGCTTCTCTTTCCAAGCTTGTGAGTTTAGATTTTCCGGTTTGGGTATAGGGTAGGTCCCTTCCAGATTCAGGACACCCCACCTGGAGTGGGAGACGAGCGCGTCGCGGATGCAGCTGAGTGATGCAAGTAGTACTGTAGTAGTTCTTCTTTATGGGAACTCGCATGAAAGAGCAGGCATTGCCTTACCTAGAACAGACCAACAGGTGCTTAAGCTCTGGAGCGCTACAGTGGAACAAGCCTTAGACTTGCCCGTTCTAGTAAGTTCATAGGAGTGACGTTATTATGTTCAAGGAGGGTCTACACAAGCATATGCTGCCCTCATGAACCAGGGCACTGGTTAAGAGCATCAGGGAAAAGACATCGATGGCTGGCGCCTGGGCCTGCAGGGAGACGAATTGAGGTAGGCTGAGTCAGCACTGCTCTGGAATGATCCAACACGGGCGCCCAAACAGGCGTTTCCCGTCGCCAACGCCAACATAGTTTTAGAACGTGGTCTTGTACAGAAGTTACAAGAGTGATGACCGGATTATGCAATGGCTGATGTACATCTTGTTCTCGGCTCAACATGCAAAATATGCACAGCCCGTCGACACTCCACTCTATCGCATGCTTCACTTCAGGGTGCGCTGTTCCTTGCGTGAAGCGAGGTTTGGCAACAACCGAGCCAGGTTCAGAATGTTTTCAGATAGCGGGAACCCAATATAGACCACTAGAATATTGTATTCCTTTTTATGGGGACATCAAAAAAGTGCCGGAAATGTTGGGAAATCTAGAAAATCAGCATCAGCTCGTTTGGCGGTCATCTCCCTCTGGTGGTCCTGAGTTTGCCCGACGAGCCCAGGGGAAGCTTAGCACATGTTTAGCGTTTACGGTATGGCACAGGTGGACCCACCACCTTGTAATAGTAGTACAAGAATAAGGATATAGGAGGACCCTAATATTACCATTATCCCTTATACTTATTGTTTGGGCGGGACATTGGCCCCTTTGCCTGCTACTCGGACCTGGAGTATTTGCAGGCCGCACCTATCTTCAGAGTGCTGTATCTCTGTCATTCTTGACCTCGGTGCCAACTTAACCTTGATAACAAAAGGGTTAGTTAGGGATTAGGGTAATAGTAATCGATTTTTGAGATGATTTGGGCCACCATTTTTGTCATAGCTTATATGGGAGCAAAGATAAGATTTTCTCTGGGCCATGGTTTCTCTTATATTGCGCAAATTTCATCTCAAATTGAATTAAGATATAATGATTTCTCTATTTACGTTAGAATTCGGATTATCAAAGATTTGTAGATGCGAGTGCAAGAATATATTTATTCTATGAAATATTGGGATAGGAAAAGATAGAGGCTCTAAAATTTCGGATTTCTAATGAAAGGAAATCGAATAAAGATTTCAATAATTTCTATTTATTCATTTCTTTTATCTAGTTCTATCTTCATTCGATTTATTTCTCTCTAATTTCAAGAAAATAAATGAATCGAATATTGATATAATTTTTATTCTCTTTTATAATATTTCTCGCATTTTCACGTATTTCTATTATCTAATTGAGTAGGAAAGATATTGATTTGATTATTTCTCGTATTTGAAATTCTTGAATTGAAATAAATTATTGAATGAGAATTTTATTATTTTTCGTTAATTCGATCTAAAATTTTGATTTATGATATTCAAAAATATAATTTGAGATTCTAATTTTATTTAAGAATAGCTCTTCTTTAAATGATATTGATGAATTCTATTTATAATATCTTCAAATATTCGGCTCAAAATGAATATCGTTATATATTTTTGCTGATATATGAGGAAATGAAATTATATAATTATATGCGGGAGGAGATTTATCGTTTCTTATCGGGAGGAGGATTGATATTGAAAATCTAAATCTTCATTATATTGATAGATTTCTATGGATTCTAATTAATTGTATTTTTATCCCCTCGTTTCGAATTATAGGAGGGTACTGAAGAAATTGCCTATATC